CTTAAACTATTGGCAGGAAATCCATCTTGTTAGCCGTTTTCGAGGAAATTTCTGGGTATACCCTGGCAATATTTTGCACATATATAATAATAATTTTTTTCACCTAAGGGTTGTTTGTGAGTGTGACCACGTCTTCTAATATATTTAAAGTATATATCTCACAAGCTACTAAAACCATATCAATCAAACTTTCTTAACAGATTTCTATCCATAATTTTATCATACAGTGCGAAATTAGATCACACTTCCCATACAACGGTTAGGTTGAAACCTTGTGTTAATAAGTCAGAGAGTCGGCAGGCGCCACTAATAAACAATAGACAATAGTTGTGGCCCCGCCTACGGTTAGTTGAAATCGTATATCTCAGGAGCTACTCGACTAATTATAATATTAACTTGGAATCTTTTTACTACAGTTTGAAAATGGAAATCAGACTACAACGGATTTAGTCCAAAGTCTTTGTTCTCAAATCTCAAAACAATCTTCGCTGTACCGAAAAGTTGCGACTAATCAGCTAAGTCCTATTTTGAAAGAAACGACAAATAGTACTAAAACAGTGTATCAACATGTTGGAAGATAATCGTTGTATGTCTCTGGATTGCAACTATATTGAATAACATTAAATTTTGTCGACAAAAATTTTATTTCTTGAAAACGATATGCACTATTAGCTGCTTGTTATGATAAACTGCATATTTACCCAAAACTAAATTGATTGAAATCATATACTAAAAAAAATGAATTAAAAAATAGATTTCATTTTATTTGAAGTCTATTTCTCAAAGTGAACTTTAAATTATCGTGTTTGTAATTGTTAGGAACAAAAAAAAAATGAAATCAATTACTCAACGAAATTTGTACTTTGGCAACAATGGTTAAATGTGAATCTGCTTTATCTACACAGTTGAACCGTCCAATTGACAAATGTAAATTTCGCATTTGCATTCTTTGTGTTTTTGGGTGGTGCAATAAAACTAACATTTAGAGAAACTCTCCACCATAACACTAAATAAAGTAGTTAATTTCGTTAATTTAATACAGTTGCTAACAATCTAACACCAAATAGTAAAATATGGCCGATGATCAGAATATGATTGATGCACAGAAACAATTCGCTGATGTGGACATAAATAACGGCAGTGCCTCGGGTGCAGAGGATGACGAGGAAGAAGAGGTACCAGCGCCCGGTACTGTCGACAACGATTTATTTGCCATAACACCAACTAGTGAAATTCATGTAAGATTATTTTTACATTTTAAGTATTCGGAAACTTCTACATCCTTTACGCTGGCCCAAACAAAATATTTCCAAAATTGTTTGCTGACTCACAGAAAATTATGGGCGGTGTCTCAAATATAAGGCACTTTCCCTACGCGATAAATTGTTTATCACACCAATTTGAGATATGAGCTTAAATGTCAAATCCTACTGTAGTTTCATAAAGTGTCCATATGTAGTACACAATACTTGCCGGCATTGAGATCTGTTGTAGTATTCTACAATTACAATTTAAACATTGTTGTTGTAATTTGACCAGCAGAAAAAGTCATTTGTTTGCATTGTAAAAGATATAATTAAAGCAGTCTTATCAATAAATATATATGCATATGAAATTTCATTGAGGGCAATACATCCGTTATGCTCAAAGTGATTAACGCAAAAATATAAGAAATTTAAAATTACTACATTTATTATAATGCATACAAATGAGGTTTATATTCATATATTAAATAAAAATCATTTTAATTTATAGCGCCGTATATCATCAAGTAATCTCGAAGATGTGCTTACCGACAATGGCGACTATTTCATAGAAGTTACAGTGGCAGAGCCACAAAAAGTCGGCGATGGTATAGGTTCATATCTTACTTATAAGTGAGTATCCGAAAAAATACATAATTTTATATTTTTTAATTTGTATATAAATATACATATATATATTTATTTTTCGTAGGGTAACAACGAAAACAAACATTCCGAAATTCAAACGCTCTGAATTCAGTACAATGAGAAGATTTAGTGACTTTTTAGGAATACACGATGTATTGTCAGGGAAATATACAAGACTTGGTAGAATTATCCCACCAGCCCCATCAAAAAATATTATAGGTAAACCATTACAATCATACCGAGTCAAATCAAAAACATTGCAATAATAACTAATTTATAACAGCAAAATTTTAAAACTAAAAAAAATGTATTTCTATCTTTAATATATCATTTGAATTCAATACTATAAACAAGGCGGTAAATATTATAATTATCAAGCAGAAACTTCAGATGCTTAATACTTTTGTTTTAGGTAGTACCAAAGTGAAAATGAGTCCACAACAAACGGAGCCCGGGGCACCGCGAAATGCCGAGTGGGTTGAAACTCGAAGAGCTGCTTTGCAACGATATGTAAATCGCACAGCCCAGCATCCGGTGTTACGAGTAGATCTCGATTTCATTAATTTTTTGGAAAGTGATCAAGTAAATACATTATAGGGTTACTTAATATTAATTAACATTTAACACACATATATTCAAAGGAACTCCCTCGCGCAGTTAATACAGCAACTCTCAGCGGGGCTGGAGTAATGCGTCTATTTAATAAAGTTGGAGAAACTGTAAATAAAATTACTTATAAAATGGATGAAAGTGATCCCGTGAGCATACGAATTACACATTATACATTTAACTGAAATAACTAATTTGGTGTTTTGTATGTATGCCTGTTCTCTTATAGTGGTTTGATGAGAAAATTACCGAAGTGGAGAATTTGGATGCGAACCTACAAAAATTGCATTCAGCATTGAAATCTCTAGTTAACACACGTAAAGAGTTATCTGCTCTGACTGGACTAGTTGCAAAATCGGCGGCCATGTTAAGTACATGTGAAGAGCACACTGGCTTGTCACGTGCACTTTCTAACTTAGCTGATGTAGAAGAGAAAATCGAATTGTTACGCTCAGAGCAGGCCAACTCAGACTTTTTTATAATGACAGAATTCGTAAAAGATTACATCGATTTATTTAGCGCTGTTAAATCAGTATTTCATGAACGCGTCAAAGTTTTTCAAAACTGGCAACATGCACAACTACAATTGTCGAAGCGACGAGAAAATCGGGGGCGTTATGAACTCGCTAATCGTACTGACAAACTAGAACAAGCGCAACAGGAAGTTGAAGAGGTATTAAATAAAATATATATATATTTATATAACTTAATTTTTTTTATTGATTAAACTCTCAATTACAGTGGCAAACAAAGGTTCAACGCTGCCAACAACAGTTTGATGATATATCAACCGAAATTAAAAAAGAAATGGAACGATTCGAGTTGAACAGAATACGTGAATTCAAAATAAACACGATGAAATATATTGAGGACCAGATGGCGCATCAACAACAGGTGAACATAAAAAATAATTAATATATATAAATGTAATGTTTTGGATGTTTTTTTCTCAGATTATTTCATATTGGGAAACTTTTATACCGTCTGCCAGAGAAATTGTTTAAATAAACTGTCTACGTCCTCATACATCGCTTAAATGCAGAATCTTTTGTAAAACGCCTTTTATATATATATGAAAAGTAATAACCAATGAATAATTCGCATGCAAGCAGGAAATTTGTGCTACTGAAATACTGTTATAAATGTTTTATATATAACATATAAAACTAAAAGGCAGAAATTCTGTGTATCTACGTTCCACAAAGTATTTTTGATTAAATATTCTTTTTTTATAATTTTTGTAAAGTATTCCACAAAAAAAAACATTTGTTACAACAATTAATACATGTATAGGATTATTGATTGAGCATGAGCTCAGTTAGCTAATAAAAACTATTGAATATTTAAAATATAATATACCAGCATGATAAAAATGTTAGATATATTATACATATACACCTATGTATATCTCAAAAATATTTTGAAAATTTATAAATGAATATATAAAATTACGTAAACTGAATAAATAAAATTGTAAATAAGAATGCAATTTAAATTTATTTATATATTAAACTTTAAGTTTATGCTATGTATGTCGGTTTAAAAATAGGAAAAAACGCTAGTTTGAGAAAGTGAGCGTATATTTGTTATTTTAGCGGGTAAGTATCAGTGTTTGTCATAGAAGTGGTGTGTGGTGTATTGTTAGTCAAAGCAAATAAAAATATTATATAATATATCAAATACATATATGGATTGGAGGTTTACGTAGCAACAGTAACAGGTCTGAATTGTGCTGAAATTACTGGACTACGGTTCATGGATTTAAATAAAAGCGTTAAATGACAAGTTACATTAGTAAGTTTAATTTCAAATACAAAAATAAAAAATACTAATTTCCATATAAAATATAACATATAACAAACCTTAGTTAGAATATGTTTCTTAGTAAGCAATTCTGTAATAGTTCCATTAAAGTCGTAAATGTGATAACGAACACGTTTCATTCATGTTGAATAATTGATTGCTTCGGAATATTTGTTTTCTTCTAATCCTCTTGAACTTCTTAGTTTGAGGCTACTTCATTGATGTTAATTACACACAGCAAAACTCATAACTTTCCGCGTACATTTTAATAAACTTTAAACTTATTGATCCAAACTATACAATATTCTTATTGGTATTTTATATCACAATTATTATTTATATAATTCTAAAAAATTAACTGAAACACTTTTGGTTTGGTTTAATAAATTCACAAAAAACCGCGCAACTTGTCACAACACAAATAAGCAAACGCGGAAGAAACGAAAGAGAGATCAAAACAAAATCCATAATACCAACCACAAACTTATATATATATATGTATAATATACCTTCTATGCGTATTAGGTACACATATGTAAAGAAAAATTTACCGATATTGCAATTATAATTTTTTTTTTAAAGTTATATATTTATTATAGAATAATAACAGAAAACGTATATAATATATATACATTTATAATATAAATACGTTCTCTGGAGTAACCCTCCGTCAAGTGAACAATTTTGACAATCGGCACACCATGAACCTTCTCTATACGTATATACGTTCTCTGATAATAATTCAACTATTTGAACTGTAAATTTTACTATAATTTTATTTTATTTTTTTAATTCTTGTGGCAACCATTGTTTGCATGTAAACATATGATTCTGACAGTTCTTTATTTATTAATTGATTTCTACAGATTTTAACATTTGCAGTTGGTTAGAAATTAAATAAAGTCATGTCGTGTACAAAACTTTCCAATGGACTGCAACTTTTAAGTCGTAATTCGACAAGCCGTGCTCTTAGTTCTTCGGTAGTCAATTCATGGCGCAACTACAGCAACTCGCGTAGTGATTTAGAAACTTCCACTCACACTGGGCAGGTACATCCAACCATCGGCCTATTACGCAAACATTATACACATTTTCTACTTCGTTTTTACATACACTTAATAAAATATTGCATTTTTATAATTAGGTTTTTGACAAAAATGATTATCGCAATGTTCGATTCGTTAATGCCAAACGCTATGTTAATGAAAATTGGGGTATTAAATTGATCGATGAAGTACCTCCAATTGAAGTTACAGATCGTGTTGTTTATTGTGATGGTGGTGATGCAAACTTGGGTCATCCTAAAATTTACATAAATTTGGTAAGCAGATATAAATTTATTTTATAAAAGAATGAATGAAATTGAAAAAAAATTTTTGTGTTTTTCTAATCCAGGATAAACCGGGACCACAAATCTGCGGCTATTGTGGCCTTAGATTCGTTAAGAAAGATGGACACCACCATTAAATTATTGTTTTTGGAAAAAGATGACTATGAGAAAATGCACGTGGGATAATTGTTAATTTGCATTGTCTCAGAATAAATATAAAATAAAAAAATCGGTGGATTTTGATTTAGTCGTGTAAATATTTGTTTAATATTGATTATTGAGTTGAGCGTTTTATAACAGGTACAAATACTAATAAATTTGAGAGCAATAATAGATTAAGAGTTTTATCTGTTGGCATATGAATATATGGTATATGTGTGCATTTTAAAGAAACATTCCGTATTAAGCCATTTGGTAAGCCAAGAGTAAACTTTTCTGGATATATTTTTGTAGACATGTATTTCTTAAGAAGTTTACCTTGTAAAAGACGTCGGGCTGTTAAATGCCAAACTTCAAATTGTTTTTTTTTTCTTGAAATTAAAAAATGTTTTCTACAAAATTTTTAAAAAATTCTCTCAAATATAAGAGATTTGTAAATTTTCCTTTGATTCGTATGCGCAGTGATCTAAAGGAAGTAACACATACTGGACAAGTAATATATATTATATATATGTATTATATGTTAATATTAATCCTACATATATACATACATATGTATATGGACACTATCTATACAGGTATGGGAAGAGGATGACTACCGCAATGTACGCTTTACGAACGCTAAACGTTGGGTTAATAAGAACTGGGGCGTTAAATTGGCCCATAAAATTGAAACTATAGTAACTCCTAAACGTGTAGTATATTGTGATGGCGAAGGTCCACTAGGTCATCCCAGGGTCTACATATGTTTGGTAAATTAAATGTTTATAAACCTAAAACAACAAGTAATTGTGATTTTTCCAGGATAAACCTACTAAGCATTGGTGTCATTATTGTTTGAAATCTTTTGTAAAAACAGAACATGCGGCGGCGGTACTTGGGAAGAAGCCTAAGTGAATTTAAAAAAAATTTATTTTGTAAGGAAATTGACTCTTTTTACAACACAGTCTATTTGTCTGATCAATTTATATGTACTACTAAAACCAGAGCTTAATATATACATAAACATATTTTTATATTCAGAGGAAATAAACCCCGCAAATAAATTAGATACAAATATAAAACAATTTTGATTGCACATGTAAGTAGGATATATATATTTCAAGTGGTTTTAAGTAAATACAAATAGCTGTGTGATAAATTATATTTGCAACGGTATTAATGTATGTATGTAAAACACTTAAAGATGCTTTACAAATAACCAAATCAGATATGGCATACAAATTTTAAGAAACAATCCTTAACTTAGTTAATTTACTTGGTACACAGCATTTATGCATGTCCATACATATAAAAAAAGCTTAAACTTCCAAAACAAATATTTATACATTGACAAAGCATAAATGTATGTAAGCATGTATATGTTAAAAAATATAAAAAATAAGTTTTTTGAATTTCGTGAAAATTTTTAAAACTATATTTTACACAGTTAACATTAAAATTACTACAAAATAATATCAAAGTCTTTATGGTTGCCAATAGGTATTTTCATATGAAAAACAAACGTTTATAGCTAAATGATACAGGCGCTAATGCGCATTTGAGAATGAATACTAACTTAGATGAAGGATATATAATATATATGTATATAGCATAGGTATATATGTATGTATATTGATGTTATATTTAAACATCTTTCTTTGTTCTTGCACTTTAGATGGATTTCATTGAAACTCAGTACTGCAGTATCCCAATATTCACATTCTCACAAACAACATTTAGAACGTATATGATAAAAGTAATTATTGAGATATCATCGCGCTCAAATTTCTTCAATTTAAAGCAACCACACTTAGAAAAATCCATACCACGAATTAATTCGTGCTAACTAAAGAATCAAAGAAAAAAATACTTTTGTGTAATATTCATCGCTGTCAATAGTTGTCGCTAAACGAACCGTCATTTAACATATTCTGAGCCAACTTACTACTTTCGCATATTTTTTATTAAAATACCGAATTCTAACTACACTGTCCTTCAATGTAGCTAAGCATTTGCGCGACTCTTTCGTTTGTGTATATATGTTAAACGTAAATCGTTTCAACAAATAAACAATTCTCGTTTTCTCATCCTCTCGCTGATGCCAGCGATCATCAAACAATTCTAGTGAATTCATACGATTGCAGGTTCAATTGTTTGATCCAGAGATTTACGTCCCCGAAATAAAGTTCTGTTTACGCTCCATGAAGATGCTCGTAATCAAATTAAAATATTAAGATATACGAAATAAATTCCATGAAAACAGTACAGAACCAGTATAGAATTGTACACTTGAGATTATAGACGATTGAATGTGTAGCATCAAAAAGTGAACATCCTATGTAAATCGTTTACACAATTCCAATTTACATCAAAAGATGAACAAATATTAATGCCAAATTCACCTGTGTACGTCTACCATACTGTTTCTGTATATGTTTCGGTTATACGTGTGGATGCTGCGGTCATCCGTGTTGTTGCTGTTATTATTGCTGCCGCTGCTGCTCTTGCAATGCTATCTGCTATCTGTAGCCTCAATTGAATTTCATCTAAAACACCAAACACTTAAGGATCTAGTTACTAATACATAGTATATCTGAATTTGAATATAGACGGGTAATAAGTTGCCAACAAGGATTCGGCCAATAAGCACCACTGGTCACCAGAGGTTCCTTGGTACGGCGTAACCTTCTTTTGTTACGTAAATATTGCGATCCGAATACTCTTCGGACTTGGCGATGCCACCCTCCTTTTGTTTAATTACACCGGAACCGCCAGCGTTATCGTATGTGGTAATTGTTTCTGATTTTCCATCAATGGTACGTGTTATAGTTGTTGTTGTATTACCTTGGGAGTCCTTGGTAACCTTCGTAGTCTCATAACTACCATCCGGTTTACGTATAGTTTTAGACATTACGCTCTGGCTGAACATTTTCGGACCCTATAGCAGCACAGAAAAAAATTTCTTTTTGTAGGAGTGTATATAAATATAAATATATTACACCCAAATAAAAATGAATTAAGTAGGTAAGATTTGTGGAATCTACTTTATAAATTCCTTATTTGAACCAAGAAATGTTTTTGTACACCTAATGGGTGCAATTTTAAGCGTTGGAACTTTCAACATTATGAACTGCTACATACCTGATAAGTTCCTTCAAAAACTCCTCCACCAAATGGTGCTGATCCACGTGGTATCATGGGAGTCATTGGTGTCATCATATCGGGCCGAGTGCGCGGCATACGTGGTTGCTTCGGGGCGTCATCACTGTCTAGGGTACCATGTATTTTACCCAAAATTTTCTCCTCGTCGCTCAATTTTTGTTTACGTATAGGATTACGAATAGCCTTGTTGTCGTTGCGTGGTAAAATGTTGGGCAATTCCTCATTGGGTGATAAGCGTTGCATTAGGGAATGCAACTGATCAGCATAAATTCTACAATAATTTTTTTTTTTAATACCATTGTATCGGTTTTATATTTTGTATTAGTAATTCACTTACTCGCCATCTAGATCAGTGTCCATTATTTCTGCTTTCTTCTTTTCAAACTCTTTCAAAATATCAATATTTTCAAAGCCTGGCTTTAAAAAGTCCTCCTTCAAATCTTTGTCAATTTTAACATCACCATCTATATAGGTATGTCCAGAATTTTGTATAATTAAAAATTTATTTATTAGATAAACACATTTTAATCAATTAGTTACCTTCAAATTCATTAACTGCCTCCAAAATTTGCTGCATTTGTCTCTCGAAGTGCTTTTGCAGCTCTACAGGATTTGTGAATATTTGAAAAGCAAACTTGCGGTTATCATCAAACAGCTCGTCGTCTGTTTCTGCTTCTTCGAACCACTGCGGCTTCCGAAACTCGTCCTTTGCAGTTGCACTATCGAGTAGAAAAAAATTTTTGAAATCAAGATTTCCATAAATTTTAATATCTAACTACTTTAAATATTCTAGAGCAGATTTTTTTTAATAATAGTGGCGCTTATTCAAATAAAAAACACGCTGGCAACACTCGAAGGATATACTGCAATATGCGCAGCCTCCGAATATTGGCCTGGCCAAAGTATCTACCCAAGTATATAATTTGCACATTATCGATCGCAAGTCTTTTCATTTTAATAATATAGAAAAATTACGGTATACTGCAATAACTTACTCACAAGTTATCATCTAATATGCATACATATGTTTGCCCGATGGTAATTTCACTTACTCTTCCTTACGGTCGGTTCCGTTCAAGCTTGATGATTCCTTTTCGTTCATTTTGAACATTTTACGCAAGATATCCATTTTTTGCACTTTTCAAGCACCGCTACAACGACCAACACAGTAGAATTGAATCCGAATAGAACGTCACACGACGACCACACAATCAGAATTAAGTTCAAATAACAATCACAAGTATGTTTATCACAATACTATTTCGCCACTCAATAGCGTCCAAACACTGGTTTTTTTGAATAGTAATATATTATATATTTTTTTATTTTGCTTGATGTTGCAACTAATCTTTAAAACTCTTGATTGCACTGATAGGAAAAGAATTTGCTCGAAATTTTCTCTATGCTGTCACTTTTTATCTTTTTCAACCTTTCCTACCGTTCCGTTCTCTTGCTTACGTTTTGAAGATGTATTCGCCTTCTTCTCATAAAAACTGACAGCCGCCTATCCGTCGTTGGTGCGTAAAAAATGGGTAATGTTTTGGGAAAATATACAGCTGATAATGATTGTTTTGGGAAATTTTATGCGCTTTCTGCAACTGCCACCGTCATGGGAACGTAAAATTAGGCACAACTGTTAATTTTGACCGCTTTCCAAATATTAAAATTTCAAGCAAACGTATGCATATGGATGTCGATAATGCAGAGTTGAACATTAAAACAAAAATTATTTTTGTCAGCTGTACAAAATTTTATAAAACAACACAATCGAAATGAGTGTTTTCCGTTATACCGAATATGATTAGCTTCTTGGTAATGGCTAAATCTAATTCGTTAAAATATAATTTTTCTTATGAATGGCAGCATCCCCCTATATGTACATATGTATTAAAATTAAAACCATTAAATATGAATTAACGTATTATATTAAACGAAACGTTTATGGTACATTCTAAAATGATCATATGTAGCCGCAAAAATACTTTTTTGCAAATATAAAGTACAGTAAAGTAAAAATATTTATAATACCACCTTTAGTATACCTTTTGTTTTTGTATGTACATATATGCCCATAAACTACATTTCGAATAAAATGCGCAATAATAAATTTTGGAAAAAAGAAATTTATAAATAAACTTACAAATAATTTGTACCTGCATATATGTACTTTGATACATACAAATGTATACATAAACATTATTATGAGACACGCAGTATTGTGAAACATTTCATCAATTCATTGAATAACTTATAACTATATGCATATGTGAGTACTTATAAAAATTATCAAGAGCAAATCTCTGGTAATTTGTTCAATTCCATTAAATTACAATAGTGTACAGTATAAATAAATATTTTTAAAGTTTTGATTGTGCAATGTATTTGGCCTTATTTACCTTTGGTATACACTCTAGTACTTCTTTACCAATTTTTTACGAGATCGATGAAATATTCTTAAAATCTCTTATATGATGGTGTGTTTTACATCCAACATTGACAACTTTTTGGAGTAAAAGAAGTATCAATGAAAGAGTTGTTACAATTATTTGTTCCTCTTATGTAGTTAATTTGATCTATATATGAGTGCTTATATTCTAATAATTTATGTATTGTACACTAACCAACATTCTCTTTGTTTTGCTCCTTCAGTTTGGCCTGTGCTAATTTCCACATTTTGTTTTCATCGGCGCATTTGGTGGTTATAACAGTACGCACCTCCTTTTCGTTTACTTTACTCCGTCTAGTAACTGCAAATATGATGTCTTGTACCTTTAAAGGATTTAACATTTTCTTAAGTGGTTTATTATGATCTTTAAAGGCTGGTGAGGGCTTTCCAGTCATTGAGTGTGTGGCTAAGGTAAAACGATCGAAAACTCCTATCATGAGTTTTCTTGTAGCCATTGATGCATTTTCCCAATTAATACTATCGTAAATTTTAGTCGGTACGCGGGTATTGTTTGGCCCAATCGATGTATAAGAATTCTTTTTAAACTCGGAGCTTGCTAAAGCTGGAACTTCCTGCACATCGTTTGTGATTTCATTTACAATGACCGGTTGTTGTTGTTGTTGGTGCTGCTGTAATATCGGCAGATTGGAGTGATTATCGCCCGCTGCTACTGACTGCTGTTGTTGTGACATTTCACAATTTTCTGTACTAGCATATTGAGGCACAGCTTGTGCAGACTCTGTCGCTGCGCGTATGTTTAAGTAATCTGATACGGCCTGTTTGGATTCTGGAAGATCGCAATTGTTTTGATCGGGGTTCTGTGAAAGATTCTCTTTAGACATTTCAAATCGTTTCCGTTTTCCGGAACCTGTCAGAGCAGAATTTTGTTGATTCTGTCCCGCATCATTCTCGAATTTAATATAATTAACATTGGCGTCAGTTTGGGGCTGTTCCTCCGTCAAGCATATTTCTAAACGTTCAGAATCAGCGGAACCATTTAAGTTCAAGCCATTTTCTTCTTCGGCTATTTCTATCTCTATAGGTCCATCTTGACCGTTGACACCGCCATCAGCTATTATTGTGTAATTCACCTTCCGTGGTCGAGCTTGTACATTATCACTATGCAAGTCCTGGTGTTGAATAGCTACGTTCACATTTTGCGACACATACTGATTTTGATTACTGCTCTGCTGTTCTGAAGAATACGTCTCCGGTCGTCGTCGTGGAGATATCTGTGTTTGTGGCAATTCCTCACAGTGTATATTCCTTGGACTCACCTGTGTATTATATATCTGAAATTGTGTTTCTGTATATTGTTCATGTTGTTGCCTTTGCACATCGTGGGAATGGTTTTCATGTAATTGAACTGGTATTTGATTTACGATTACTTCTTGTAACTGTTGTCGCGGGCTTCTTGCTTGTTTTGAATTCGAGCTTCTCCTACATCCACCTGATGGTTGTTTCGAAAGCATTTCTGACTGGGTACGGAGTTTTGACTCAAGGTCACGTATTTTTTCTAATAATGCTTTCTCTCTTTGCTTTTGCTCTTCTTTATTATACATATAATCATCACTAATACCGAGATCGGCATTTGAAGTCTGTGTCCATGTATTGAGCATCATCGGGCGTTCATAACAATATTGCATTGGGCTGGATCCGCCTGCACTTGAATATATTGTTTCAGCCTGAGGATGGTTTGTGTTGTGGATAACGTGTCGATTAACCGATTGAATATGCTATTAAGATATTTTGTCATTTTAATAAACTATATTCCGTTTGTGTCTTCGATGTAAACTCACCATTGAACTACGATCCATTTTTTAGTTGTTCGAAGGATTGCTAATTAAAATTTAAAACTTGACAACACTGTGGTTTGTGTGAACTGAAAGAGCGTACAGACCTGAATAGTCTTTGCTCCGAAGTTGCTTGCTGTTATATATTTAATGAACTCTTCGCAAGCTAAAATAAGGGTAGGAAAATGAGTTCCACTAATGCAACCGATCACATGTCTGTACTCGTGATTGTAAACTCTGATACCCCATATATATTTTCTTTAAGCGTTAAGAGCTGTAAAACCCATATAGTAAATGAGAATAGAATTCTGCTTTGAATAGCGCCTTTTCTGGCGTATACATGCATATATACAGGTAGTTGGAAAAATTGCATAGCTACATACCTCTGCTAATGCACTACGGCCTGTTATTGTTCGCACTGAATGCTACCTCGAAATGGTTATGTACTTAAAGCAAAACATAAATGCAGATGGTTTCTGTACTGTACTTTATATATGTACATATGTAGCTTACCCCTGGTTTATAAGAACAAATATCATAAAGGACGTGCTATTTGCCTGAGAAGTCAACCTTCGTTTCAATTCTACTTCGAATAAATAGTACCTCCTTTTCAGCACACAATTAATCAGGTACTTGACATATATGAATGAAAGAATCTACTTGGAGTTAAAGCAGTTTTAGGATTTTCACTTCTAAAAATTACGCCAAGTTTAACATTGTTTTATCAAAACTAGACAAAGTAACAGCAAATCATATTACTGTTTTAAAGCTATATTTCGCGCGCTCCATTTTAAATAATTTTTGGTAGTTGAATGAAAAAAGAAAACAGCAATAATTGTGGGAAGCATACAGAAATTAAAAAATTAATATTTGCCTTGTTGCCAGATTAACTAAATGTATAATATTATCGCACTCGAAATAGTTATACTATTTGTTTAAAGTGTTTCGTATTCTGCTCCTCGCAAGGTAGGGAATTAGGATTTTGTCAAGTTTTATATAATTTTGAATACCTAAAATGGTCTAATACCAGGAAAACCACCCCTAACAATGGTTGGACGCGTCTTTTTCTAGTTGGCGCGCTTTTCAGTAGTTTTGCCTTCTCTGCTTTTACAAAATAACAGAAGGGTGCATTTAATAATATATATATATTATATATGTTTATTTATACATAATTTGTATGGATGTATATATATACATACGTACGTACAGATATACCTACATCCAGAGAATGTAAATGAATTCATTTCATATCCCTTTACATTCTCTGCTAAGAGTACGTATCTAATTAGATAGAAATATGTATGTATTTTTATTATTATTTAATATAGTTTAAAATTTTGGCAAAAATTTCCAACAACTTTTATAGCAATTAGAGATTTGTTTAATAAATTAAGTTTTAAATATGCACTAACAAATTACTTTCTATGAGTATTTTATAAGTCGGAAAGAAAAAAATAAATTTGAAATGCTAAAAATGTGTGTAATAGATTGTCTTTTGCTTACATTGTTTCATACCATCCTTCCTTTTTTATTAATTTGTATCAATTGCTTTATCTTTAAGCACTGTTAATTAAAGAAAGTATAACCAAATAAGTTTAAGACAGTTAGAAATTTGCAATATAGCCAGTAAATTCCACTATATATAGAAAAAGTGCAGAATTAACATATAATATTTAATGACAAAAGATTTGCAGAAGTTATTCAAACAATATGACCGATGTAACAAGTAGAGATTTAAAAATTCTTTAACATAATATCAAAGTTTATACATTAATAATTTAATTATAGCTTCGTGTATAAACATAGTTCGTGAATTTATAATAAATGCTTCAAAAGATTTTACAATAACTTTGGAACTTAATAGTAATACTACTAGTAGAGAAGAGAAAGTTTCAACTCCAACCAAAAAAAGGAAAACTTTTAGATGTACTAATTACCGAAATGTGCGGTCATGTTAATGACGATTTAAGAAATCTTTGGTATGTCAGTTGTGACTGCTATTATGATATGAGCGACGAAGAGATAAAAAAAGCGAAGAGAAAAAATAAAGAACATTGGATGATTTTTTATAGATGTTTGTTGAAAACCTTAATGAGCCTTAACGAGGACCCCTATTTGCATGTGAAGTTAGTTTTGCCATCCAGGATACAGAGAAAGTCCAAAATATCAATGAGAGAGTATTTATACTCACCCATTCACATCCCTGATGAAGAACCAATTGTAGTTCTTGGTCAAAACAGTACCTACATTGGCGCCGCACGAAATCTAAATACTACAAACTAACTTCACAAAAACATTTTTAGAACCTTATAAAATTGCTGATATTGAATCTTGCGTGCTAACATGCTCAAATAGTAATTCTGCAGATATATTAAAAATCATGGCTAGAAAATGTTATAATATACGGAAAAGATATATAAAAATACGAATATCTGCTAAAAATTCCTAGATGTTGTATGATAATAATTAGTTTTATTAATAAAAACTTTGCCTTACCTCCTTATTCTGTGGTTATAACGTAAGTCAGCCAATTTATGTTTAGAAATTATATTTAAATAGCACTTAGATTAATTGCAACTAACTGAGAACGATGAAAACTCATTTCGAATATATATGTTTTGTATTATTGACAATTTTTGAAAATTGATAATTCGTATTTCTTTTTTATTCACTACACATTCTCGAAATTACAACAACAACTCATTTAGATTTTTTCGGATCCCATGCCTGTACTTTTGGTGTTGTGGTTGAATACGGCATATATTGTTCTGCAATAAATAATATAACTGATTTTTATAATGTTTCATAAATACATACTAGCTACATATAAATTGGAATTGAACTATCAAAAATCTTAAAAATTACATATCTGTTAAGCTATTGTGAAATTTAAATAAATTTGCTATTTTCGGTTCCATGTATGTACGCATTCTCTTGTTATATCTAAACTAAATTATAATTCAGAACAGTTTGATGAAAAATACAATTACTTGCAATATTTGTATTAATGATGCACATGTATGCCTATATTGGGTAGAGGGAAAAATACCTGAGTAGGTACATGGACGATAACGTTTATGGTCATTTGTTAAAGAAACCACTTTCTATATAAAATTGGATTAATGAGTATAATTAAAATTATTTACCTTTAGTGCCAGACAAATTTTCACTGTGATCAGCCATCCACTTATATTTGGGACGGCTACCATCGCGTGTTGGCGGTAAATCGGTCTGAAAATATAAACCACATCATTATTGTTTCATAAATTGCTTACAAAAACAAAAAAACAATACCTTGTAATGCATCCAGCCATACCAATCAGCGGGTATTTGTGAACCGTCATATTCCAAATTTAAGTGATCGGCATATTCCACCCAACGATTGCGGCCGTAAAAGTAATAAGGATTTTCATAATACCTGTTGCCATATTTGTCTGTCCCTACGAGTGTACCAATTTTTAGATCATCATACCTGGAAATTCATAAAAAACATCTATTTAATATAACTTAGTGAATAAGTCAGATAAATCTTATATAAGCGAGACTCATAATGATCGAAATCACTGACCTGTACATTTTCATGTAGGCATTCTTTATTCCACCCGATTGGCGGATTATTTGAAATATTTTACCAAGACGGTCTAGTCCCAAATACTTGGCCATAGTTACCTAAAAATATTTCACTAAAATCTAAATATGCTAAAAAATAATAATAAAAAAGACATTTAAAAAACTATACCTTATGCGAAGCAATAACCAATGTCAAAACCAGCTGATTTTATCTTTCAAAGAGATTACTTCAAATTCGATGAGTCGATAATTATCAATTTTACAATTTTTTGACACGACAAACATGTTTTAAAATATATATATGAATATGTAATATGTGAAATTAATATATTTGAATGTTGGATAAATGTATATGAAATCAATATTTAGGTTGTTTACATTTATTCAACTGTTTATTGCTCAACGAAATTTCAAATATTCAATTTACTCGAGCAAAATATTTAGACTGAATATACCCAATGCGGTTTTTGCATTTAGCGATAGCTGTCATATTTGACATTTTTGATAAGCGTTTTCGTTTTTCTATGTGTGAATCATTTTTGTGCAATTCTTAGATTATTTCCAAAAATTCATACATTTTTTATATTGAATTAAAATATTCCTGCTTTTGATTGAAACAAAATAATGGCTAAGAATACCTCTAGTTCAGCTTTCCGCAAAATTGATGTGGATCAATATAATGAGGATAATTTTAAGGAAGACGAAGCAGACGCAATTTCAGCCACTGTTGGCCCAGATGAAAATGAAATAACGACACTTCTTACACAAGGCAAATCTGTAGAGGCTTTAGTTAATGTATTACAAAATGCGCCTTTGCGTTGCAAAAATCAACATGTGAAGGTATGTATACAACTTTCTATAATAGCATGCATATAACATACGAAATAAAAAAACATATATGCAGGACAACGCCTTGAATACAACTCTACGAGTATTGCTCTCCATCAAATCATCACAAATGGATCAAGCTGTCGACGCACTCGAACAAAACGATTTACTAGACGTTTTAATGAAGTATATTTATCGTGGCTTTGAAATTCCCTCAGAGGGCTCTAGCGGGCATCTATTGCAATGGCATGAAAAAGCATTTGCCAAAGGTGGTGTGGGCTGTATTGTGCGAGTCCTTTCTGATACTAATCGAGCATAATCTATATTACCGTTAATCAACCTAAATTTAAGTGAGTGAAAAGAGCAAAAGTAATTAGTTCTGGCTTTTACAATACTTCCATAGCTATACTACAATGAATAATTAGTTAAACTCTACTACATATACATACATACATATGTTGGTTATTAAAAAATGTTGCAATACACTGGCGTATTTTGTTGCAATTGTTATTCTGCTGGCCGTCTTGTATGGATTCTCATATGGAAACTGATGTGTCGTGAGTCTGTCGTAGTCAATATGTTGTATCAAATTTTTTTTTTAATACATGTAACAGTGCATATAAATTAAAAGAAAAATTATACGTATTTATTTTTGAAATTAAAGTATTAAACCGTTCGTTTTCTAACTGCATAAACATATGTGTATTCAATAACAGAGACAAGAAATAGAAGTTAAGTGCAATGCTAACCAATATAATTGGGGGCACAATATACACTTAATTAAAATGAAATATTTATACTTAGGTACTGAATGAATTTCAGCACATTTCAGTTTATTTAAGCTTTAGGACGAAGCTAATCGGTACGGTACAATTAAAACGTAGTTGTAAAGTTGCAGTTTACTACTCACAGCTACAGTTACTGCAAGCAAGCCGTTAATATATTATATAATGCTGATTATTGCTCAACGTATCATAGAGCAGAATATAATTAAGTTATAGCAAAACGACTAATATAATGTTTATTATTATTTTTATTTATTTTTTTAACAGGGTATCATTTTGTTTTGTATCCAGTATTATCTGTTTATAATAGTGCATATTATAAGCATTATTATGAATTTTTTTTTGATTAACTGAACTTATGAGTCGTGTTTGTTTATGGGCGATATTACTAGTTGCTCTAAATATTTGATTATGACCCAAACACATAACGAAAACAAAGACTACTAACAAATACCGCCACATATTTTCATTCATAACAAATTATTTTGACTAAACACTTAGAGGATTTTTTAAATTACCTAATTCGAATCAAAAGAAAATTATGATGTTTATTTATATATATATTTTTGGTTTTGAAGTAGAGTGAAATGCATTAAGCGTGCTGAATTTAATATTTAAAACATTTTATATAATTACACTTCTTATGAGTGCATTGAGTGGAACTTTTAAAAAATTCATTAAAACATATACTAAATGTATGTATATGTGTATAAATTTCCACTTTTACCAGGTCTTTTGATTACAAAACGAACGAAAGCAATTGACAGCACTAATGTTATTTAATATTTGATCCAACACTACTTTTTTGGGTAACTAAAAAATTATGCATGCGTTTTGCGTAAATGAAAAATTGTAGAATTGGTTAAGAAAATTTGAAGTGAATAATAAAAAGTAAACTTGACAATGAACATATGTATGTATTATATATGAATGCAGCTTTAATGAAAAATACAAATCACCAACTGGTGACGAAGCTCTAATGACGACACATGTTGTATTTGTAATACAATTCAAAAGTCGCAATAGTCATATCACCAAAAATGTCTCTTTACCACATATGCGTTTCGCGAATTTCGCTTATTATGTGGTTTGCCCTGGTGAGCGCCTGATAAAGATAGAGTAAATGTTAGTACAAATAAATATAACAATATATATATAATTACTTTCAACATATCGGCTGCCTCTTTTCGTCGCACTGCAATATGATCCGATTCGTTGAGTAAAGTTTCTGCCCTTTCCGACTTGTACAAATGTGTGACTAGCTCGCTTTGTAAGTTATCCTTAACGTGATTAACTAAGAAATGCATTATAGCTTTTGGTACCGAATCCTGAATGGATTTGCGCACAATGTAGAAATACGACTTAATTAGGCGTTCTGAAATATATCAAATGTATAAGATTTTATATAAATAATTTTTGTAAAATGAGTGTAAAATATTTATATTATAAATGAATATATAATTAGACAACTCACCAATAACATCACAATCCTTTTGTTCCTTATCAGTTAAACGCCTTGAACCATGTTGAACTGGCATATCGGGCAATAAGTTAACCGGTTTTAAAGGGCTCGAAATATTATTATGTAAAGGAGTATTACTTGCAGAATTATCGAAGCTATCTGGCGCTCTAACCGCCGGTGACGTTGACGGTGCCGGAGGTAAAATTGTTGATAACCAACTATTACCCACGGCATTTTCACCTATATGATTCTGTCAATTTTGAAAATATAGCGTGAAAGTGAAAAGAAGAATTTAATATAAATAACCTACTTGCTCTTGAGTATCATTTTGCTGTTGTTGTTGATGTTGCTGTTGCTGTTGTTGTTGATGCGCTGCTGACACTTGTGGTGACGAATTGGAATTACGTGGTGTTGTATTGGTGCGCCTTTGTACTTGCGCACTCAAATGGCTGAATGGCTCAATGATATTATCCGCCTTCAGTAGACTGGGCACTAAAGCAGCATCCTTATGAAAATCGGGGTGCTTGGTATTAATGTACGCCAATTCGATAGCCACCAGATTTTCGACCATTACATTGGTGGCGGGCAGACGTCGTCGCAAAAGTTGCGTAACCACATCAACAATTTTCTCATGTAATTTCGGGAATCTAAATATATGATAAAAATTGTTATTTATTATTGCTACTTTTATTACTAAAATTTAATTAAATAATGTAAATTTGATGTGTTGCGCTTACCGCAGCATTTCCTGTTGTACTTCATTGCCGCAATGCTGTACAATGCGTTGCATTTCTTCGTGTATTAACTCTACGCAACGTAATGAAGGCTCCTCTAAGCGTCGTATTTGCCGCTTCACTAGCAATTCAAATGAAACTTCGGGTACGAAAAGTGCTGGCCGAGGACCGGTCGCATTGCGTATAGCTGTCAATATATCCATTTTACTTAATCCGGATAATGGATGTATGGAATCTAATGTGCGGCCAAATGTCTCATGAAAAATATAACAAATGCGCGCACCACCACAAAGTTCGGTCGTTTCAATATTACGTGCGGTACCTTCAATGGTGGAACAGTAGGCACTAGCAAATTTGGTTATGATTTGTAGTAGTGTCTGACTTTTATCCGAAACGTCTTCGCCATAGGAGTGTAATAGAGATTGGAATTGTGAAGACATTACGTTGACACGAGTCTGAAATTGATATAAAATAATAATTATAAAGAATTTTTTTTTTTAAGTGTTTGACAAAGTAAATTTATACAAAATATTTACTTTCAGATCCGGTAAGCAATCGCGTATGTGATGCATAAGCAAACGATTTAAAGTTTTAGCTAAGTAAGGTGTGCCATTACGAGTAGCTAATGTAGGGTATTTCCTCTGCAAAAACGCCGCTTCGTCTTTAAGTTGATCGTCAATTTGTTTCTTATCAATTATATCCTGTTGCGAACGATTGACCACACCAATTATTCCCAGTTTTACTGGTATTACTCGGCCGCACAATATATCAATAGCGTCAGTGCCGGCGTCCATGAGATCGAGTTTTGTAACAACGGCTAAGGTGCGTCGACCATCGGGATCACATTCTTTAGCCAATTTTAACGCTTCACTTGTCGCCATATCAGTATTCGCGGCGGTCACCGCCAAAATAATAGAATTCGGATTATCAATATACTTTAAAACCAAGTCTTTAATTTGTGCTTCGATGTCTTCGGGTTGATCACCAACAGGCACTTTAGTTATACCGGGTAAATCAACGAGGGTTAAATTTACGACGCGTGTTGAAAATATTTTCAGATTAATTGGTTCGGGACAAATGCCTTTATTGGAGCCGGCAGCACGGTCAGTCTCTTCTTCAATTTCGTTGCGAATTTGATTGAAATCCGTAAACACTTTTTTGGTGTGCAAGAATTTGCCCCACTCTTCTGCATTAATTGTTCCTGCAAATATGCATATGCTATATTTTACCATTGTTCGATTAATAAATAAAAAGCTGGTTTACCATTTTCAGCCGAACGGTGTTCCCTATCATCGAGAGGACAATGAATCAGCTGTAAAATAAGTGGCCGACGCGTCACTATACCTGTACCACGGGGTAGAAAAGAGCGTCCCACCAAACTCTCTATAACTGAACTTTTGCCGGAACTCTAAATTATTTTTAAATAGAAAATGAAATTGTAATCACTCTTCGATTCAATTTCGAGCAGTTTAATATTTATTGTAGGTATAATAAGACCTATGTATATGCCAATGCTTGTCAGAAGTTACCACTTCCTTTTTGTTGTGTTTTTGTATTCTCCCAGAAATCGGAAAATGAATCTCTCTTAATTAAATTCTGAACGGCTTAAAATCTATAAAATGTCTCCCTGATACTAATGTATTCTAAGCTTTCGCATTGCTCGCGAAGATCGACAACTTTAAACAACGTTTATTCTAAAAATTTAGTTATTTTCCCCCGACAGTGATTTGAACCCAACAACTGCCGTGTGGTAATAATTCACACTCACTTACTCGATAAAGCGATCGTTTATAAGTTTAATATTTAATTGGAACTGATTAATGGTTTTCACAGGTCTCGTGTTGCATGTTTTTATGTATAAATTAATATATGTACGTCATATTAACGTGCAGATGAGTGTACGTGTCGCAGAATAAGTCAATGAAGCTGTATTCTGCCGTCATTGCAACAAAATGTTTAGTCCCATCACAATCGGTATTGATTTTTTTTTTACACAAATCACTTTGGACTTAGAGGTTACATAAACAATTTATAAACATATCGATTTATAATATTAATCCTAAAGTATTGACATTTTTGCGAAGCCGGCTACTTTTGTGCTATTATATAATTAATGCAGAAAGGAAAATATTGTGTCAACTGTTCCACATTAAAATATTTCTGTCTTCATAACCCTGAATTGCATATCTGCAAAAAATCGCAAATTGGCACATGCTACCCTAAGCTTATACTACAAGCCACTTAACTGCACTTTTATCAGTTTATAATATATATGCTGATAGCATTTAACTTTACTCTGGATTGAGCTATTACTTACCTGACTTCCAAGTACTACAATTTGGGGCAATTGTATAGAATCCGATCCAACTGTGTTGAAAACATCTTGCAATTTATTTATAACCGGAATAAGTGCTTCCATTTTGACAACGACACTCACAATCACACTGAATTAATAGTTTAACTTAAGTTTTAGTTAATGTTTGTTCCCTACAATATTATACCTTTATTTAAGGACTTTCTACAACATGTAGTATATAAAATACAGTTTTCGCACAGTTCTCCTATTTTTGCTGTCTATTCGGTGGAAAACTGAAAATACTGGCCACCATTTATGTCAAACAATAAATGTTGCCAACTTATTGCGAATCCAGTGTTTCATTGTCGCTACAAAAGCTATTTCATAAACACAGGGTGTTGAAAGTTAATAGGGCAGA